AGAAAAGCAAAAATTAGTAATATGTAAATTTTGCACATATCAATAATAGCAATTAAAATACTTATCTTTTAAAAACTTTCGTTTATTTTTTTAATAAAGATAGTAAGAGATGTTAAATCTTTTTTTTAAAAGATTGTGACTTTTGATCAGTGTTATGGAAATTAAAATCAACTAATAAAAAGTAAGAAAATTGATCATGTGAGTCACATGAAAGGCGGTCAAAATTTTCAATTTAATAGTAAAATGATCTCACTTTTAAATTGCTACTGCTCTATCGAAAATAGTTTTATCAGAATTTTAAAAATATAGTTTTGTTAGGCTTGAGTTACTCTATCATTTTATGATTATATTTTATATTTATCATATTTTTTGAATAAGAAATAGCAATTTGAATTTTATCAAATTTATTAGTTAGGACTAAGTTGTATGTACTATATTAATTTTTATTTCTAATTTTTATTTTTATTCTGATTTTTATTTCCTTTCTAATTTTTTTTCAATATTTTATATACAGTATTTGTTCTTATTATTTTAAAGGTTATTATAAATACTTATAATTTATTTTCAATCTTTCTTTATTATTCTAAAAGTTATTATATATATTATTATATATTATTATAATATTTTTATTTTTATTCATAAATATTTTTCTTTTTTCTTTTATCTTTAATAATACTTATTTTGATAATATAGATTATATTTAATATGAATTAATAAATTATTAATTAAATTATATTTTGATAGATAAATTAGTTTTTGACAAATATAATTATTTTATTAATAATTTATAATAAATATCAAATTAATGTAATTAATTTTAACATTATTAAAGTTATATAATATAAATTATATAAGTATTCTATAATCTTATTTTATTGGTTTCTTTTATTTTAAATTTTTATATAATCTTTATACATAGTTGAAGGTTATCTTTTTTTTTTATTAACAGTTTCTTTATTAATTTTTTTTAATAACTTCAATAATTTATTTTTTATGTTTTATGATCTGCTAATTTTATAATATATCTATATTATTTGATTTATTACTATCTTATGTTGTATTTTGTAAGTTAATTACTTATTTATTATTTAACTTTATTTTAAATTATGTTATTTATTTATATCTTATAATATATTTATATTTCTTATCATATAATTTGTTTTTATTCTGAATCATATTAGTATTATATTATTTTAATTAATAGTTTATTTATTATAATTTATTAATTATTTATCTATTATAATCTTTTATTTGATTAGTTATTTTTTAATTTTTTAATATTTAATTTTTTTATAAAGTTATTTATTTGATAAAGTCACATAATATATTATTTTACAATTTTTTGATTCTTTTACTATTTTATTTTTATTTTATTTACCATTTTATCTTTAAAATTATTTATTTTTTATTTTTTATAATTTTTTGAATTATTTATAACTTTTTTTAAAATTTATAAGACCTTTTATTTAAATAAAATAGTTTTTTTTTAATTTTAATAAAATAAAAATATTTTTATTATTTATAAAAATAATCTTTTTATTTATATAAAATAAATCTGTATTTAAATAAAATTTAAATAAAATGAAACTTTATTTTAAATAATTTTTTTTGTAATAAAAAAAAACCTTCTTCTATAAATAAAATAATATTATTTGAAAATATTTATAATATTATAATAAGTTACCTATACTATAAGAAATATACAGATAGAATTTAAAGTAAAAAATAAGATAAAAAATAATATATGTTATTTAATTTATAGGTTATTGATTATAATAACTGTTAAGGTTACTTGATCTAAGAAAATATCAGGTTAAATTAGTTAACTGAGCTCTAATTATTAATATTATATGATTAATATTAATAATAATAGGATTTTATAAATATTTCAATACTTAATTCCTAACAGTTTAGAATTATAACTTCAAAATTCTAATATATTTAAAATTCTGATAGTTTATAATTCTGATGGTCTTTTATTCTAAATAGATATAATTTTAATTGTTCAAAATCCTAACTTATATTTTTTTAAAAAAAGTCTGTAATATAATGCTAATATATTTTAAATATGATAATTATTAAAATATATATTAAACTAATTAGATTTAGTATTAAGATTAGGTCAGAATTAGAATTAAGATTAAAGTTATAATTGAGTTATATTTTTAATACTTAAATTAAGGTTAAAATATGATTAAAGTTAAGTTTTAAAATTTTGACAATCAGAATTATATTTATTCAAATTGAAAATCATAAGAATTATGAACTAGCAGGATTTTAGATATATTAGAATTTTGAATCAGGATTCTTAATATCAAAATATCATTGTAAACTAATAATAATTATAATCATAATTATAGCTGTAATTATGTTTTTTAAGTATTTTTAAACTTTAATTATTCTCTATTCTTTTTATACATTTTTTTAATGAAATGTTAAGTAAAATATTAATTGTTAACATTTTATCAATTTTTTTTAAACAACTTTTTAGCTTTTTTGAATATTGTATTTTATAAGTAATTTATTTTATTTTATTTATTTGATGAAAAGTTACTAATAGTTTGTTTTTTTTTTTTTAGGTGGTTAGTTCTTTAACTTTTAAGAAATAATATTGAAGTAAATTTATTATTTTTTTTTAATTTTTATCTTTTAGTATAACATTTGCTAACATTTATTTTTACTTTTTTAGACAAATTATAATGCTTAATAAAATGTTTTAATATTTTAATTTTTTATTTCTTCAACTTTAATTACTATTATACCTATTATTAAAAATTTTATATTAATTATAATTAAATAATTATATGAAATTTTTTGAAATAAAAGTTATCATAAAATTTAAATAAATTTTTTATTACAGTAATGGTCATAAGTATCTGATCACCTGAGATCATCTAAAATTATTATATAACTATCCCTTAAATTTTTCAGAAATATAATGTAACACAATACATGATCACCTATAAATTTATAAGTGTTAATGATACAAAATAAAATTTAGATAATCATCAAACTTTTGTAACTTTCTTTAGAAAAATGATATAAAATTGTTTTTTACATGAGCACCTACTGGTCCAAAGTTTAGTTTTAGATTTATTGCTAAACAGGTACATTGTAGTAAGTTTACAGCTATTTATTGAGTTAAAAAATATTATAAAAATCAGGACTTAAGTACTTCAGAAAGACTGGATCGACCTTATGTAATATTTACGAAATAAGATAATAAAATTGTAAAGATGGTAGAGAAAGAACATAATAAAACAGCTATTTAAATACAAGAAAAAATGGAAGAAAGAGATGTTGGGCTTAGTGTAAAAATAGTAAGGCAATGTTTTCATAAGTCTGGAGAAAAGTTTAGTAATGAAATTTCTAAACCTTTGCTTAAAAAAAACTATCGAAAGAAAAGGTTGCATTGGGTAAAATATATAAGAATTTTGATTGGAATCAAGTTGTTTTACAGATGAGAGTACATTTTAATTATATATATCAAAAAAAAAAGGTTTGGCAGTTTTCTGGTAGAAAAAGTGTTTTGTTCTATTAAGCATCTACTAAAAGTTCATGTTTAGGAATGTTTTTCTGCTTCTGGATTTAGTAAGCTATTTTGCTTTTAGAGGAACCTTAATGCTGAATTTATGTGTACTACTTATGAGCAGGATCTTCTGATTTTCACCTTTAAACTTTTTGGTGAAGGTAACATAGATTAGATCTTACAAGAAGATAATGATCCAAAGCATCAATTGAAAATCGCGAAAAAATAGAAGGAAGAAAATGACATTGAGATACTTTTTTGACCATAAATGTCTCTAGACCAAAACTTTATAGAAAATGTTTGGAGGTTAATAAAAATTAATATATAAAAAAAAATTCAATCAATTAGAGGGTTAAAGAGGAACTTACAAAAGAATGAAACTGATTATCGTCTGTACTTACCGTGAATTTGGTAGCTAGCATGAAAAGGCGTACAGCTGCACTTATAGAGTCAGATGGTGACTATACAATGTATTAATTTTAGTAAGTTAGTTATGTATTTTTAAATAAAAAAATTTTTTTGAATTTACTTACTTGTAGCCAGAGTTAGAGGTGGTCGGATACTTATGACCGCTACTGTAGATCTATTTTTTTAATAAAAATTTTTCTAAAGTCAAAAGTAAATTTTTATTTATTTATTTATTTTTTAATAAAAGTTATTTTCTTAAGTTATGAAATAACTTTATTAGTTTTTTTAATAAAATTATTTAAAGATTAAAAGTAATGTATTTCTAACAAAAATATTTCTAATGTTAAATCTTTATTATATTAGTTATCTTTATAAAAAAATTTTTATATATAGTTATATTTCTTTATAGTCAAATAATTTAGTTTATTTTAAAAGTGTAATTATAGAGAGAATTGATTATAATGAAAGAAATTATAAAATATCAACTTTAAAGGATATGAATGATATAATAAATTGCAAATTATTTTGAAAAACTAACATAATATTATGAAAAGCTATCTTAAAGATAATTATTTAATTTGTTTGAATAAATATAAGCTAGCCCTGAAGTTCAAATGCGTGTTTTAACTAAATTTTATTAGTCAAAGAACTTTAGATGCGTGTTATACTAAATTTTCTTGATATCGGAATTATTTCCTGAAGAACCCACCGTCACTTCTTATTACAAAAGAAGTAAAAATAGTTTGATGGTTAAAAAAGAATGTAAAAAATTGGAAATCGTTAAATTGTATAATGAAAAATATATTATTCCGGTCGGAATTATGCAAGAGTTAATTCCGACCACCGAATCAAGGTTAGGCCAAAGGATCATAAGACTACCACCAAATGTCTTCTGACCAGTTATGTGCAGAACTTAGCAGTATAGAATCAAAAAGTCGGAAGAAATTCTCATGTTGGGGGGGGGGGGGTTAAAAAAATCACTCTTATTATCGTACAAAAAAAAACAGAGAATTTATTAAGGAATACGAAATTTTTTTTTTGTAACACAGTGTACTCTCTAAAAATGCCTTTTCGACTTCCCATTGATTGCATTGACGATATTTTTGAAAATTTAGACAAAAGATCCTTACATTCATGTTTACTAGTTAGTAGATTTTGGTCTGAAGTCTCTGTTAGAATTTTATGGAGGGATTTTTTGAATTATTATCCTAAATTTAGATTTTCATCACGATACCTTAGTATCTTAGTGGCGTGCCTTCCTAAAGAGTCGAAGGACCTTTTACATGAGAAAAATATTCTTATCCCAACTCCAACATCAAAACCGCCACGTTTTAATTATTTATCATACTGTAAGATTCTCTCCATTAAAAGTCTCGATCAATTACTCATTGATGTTCTCTCAAGTCCATCACAAGGTACCTTACAACAAGAACAAGACTTGATCAACAATATTCGGCTAGTATCGCAAGAGATATTGAAAGAGTTCTTTAAACAAACTTTTCATATAAAGGAATTGACGTATTGCGGGTCTTCAATGGGTGGGGAAAAATACATTTCCAATATTGCATTTCCCGAAGCCATGGATCGTTTAACGGACCTTTCAATATTATCCTGTAATTCAGGAATTCCCTCGGAATTCTTTTATCAGTTAACCCAAGTGTGTTCAACTATACAATCACTTGAGATATCACTTGATAAATCGATTTCGGGTGGTTTAAAAGAGTTAATTATTGCGCAAAGGAATTTAAAAAGTTTCACGATAAGAAATAATACCGAAGCCAATGTCGAAATTCTTATACCTTCCTTGGCAAAGCATTCAAACACCATCATCAAATTAAATATTTACGAAGTCTATGTCAGTTATCCAATGTCATCTATTGCGGCATTTACCAACTTGCAAGAACTCACCGTTTTACGTATCGGCACACCCACGGTATTACCAGATGTCACATATCCACGATTACAAAGCTTAAACTTGGATGGTTGCAATTTACCATCAACTAAATTCTTGGAAAATAATGGGAAGAATTTACAATTCTTACATACCTACGAATCTGATGAGTCTTTAATTTTAGCAATAGCTAGATTTTGTCCAAATCTTAGATCAATATATGCCAGATTTAGGAGCAACCCCACCGGATTAGAATCTTTGAAAACTCTTTTGATCAATTGCCAACAATTGGAAGAAATTATAGTCTATTGCGGTGGTGATTACTTAAATGAAGACGATTTATTAGATTACTTTGCATCTTATTCGTCTAAAAATGTTTATCGGTTACACGTACGTTATGAAGGTGAATTGAGATCAGAATTGTCTCCGGCCGTATTAGAGAGATTTTTTACAACTTGGACGAATCGTATGCCACAAAAGTCACTTTCTCTCATTACTGAAAGGTTTCATTGCTCACATAAGCGTACTATGGTGATTAAACGTGACACTTTACAAGTATTCATGAAATACAGTAAGTTAGGTGTAATCGACGTACATAGGAGTTTATGAAAGAAAGAAATGCTAATATTCAAATTTTTGGTAAAGATATTATGTATTACGTAAGTTGGTACAAAATTCTTGTATCGTATACTAAGTGATTGTATATTACGATTCAACTGACGGAAAAAAAAAAAATCGAATTCAATTCTTATGATTCGTCTGAATTAAATTTCAAATTCTTTGTCAGGGAAGTAAATTTTTTTTTGTTAGAATGCAATCAATTCAAATTGCATAATAAACGGCCCTTTCCAATATTCCAGCTCACATTTTAAATGCAACGTTTAAATTTTTAAAATAGATTTCATTTATTTAATGAAATATTTAAAAAGTCATCTCAATGGCTAGATCATTTCTCACAAGGTATTAATTTTGAATACAATGTCATTTACGAATTTTGAGATGTATTCAATCAAATTCAAGGGGTGAACCATTCTATGATATTTGGAACGTGTACCACCAATGTCATTCTTTGTAGCCATGTTGTAAGTCGCCAGAAAAAAGACGTACGAAAAACATTAATAAGTTTGGACGATTTTTTTTTTTTAAAAAAAAAAAGAAATTAATTCTTTGTACATTTTGTTTCACGAATAATTAAACAATCTCTCATTCGTTCCTTGTTTTAATATTATTTAAACCGACACCATAAATATTTACCCAGGGACATAAAAAACGAAAGATTTTTTAAAACAATCAAAAATTTGTTGTCGATCAATTATTCTAAATATAAGAAAGGAAAATAATTTTCCAGAAAAAAGTCCGCGTGTTACACACGACTCGTTTTTCATCATTGGTTCCTTTTGGAAATTTTTATTATGCAAGAACTTTCGTTTTACATAGAAATTCCAAAATTGATAAATGATTGTAGTACAATAGAAATATAGGAAATAAAAAAACTTCAGAAATACAAATTGGGTATAAAATATTAATTTTGCGTTAAACAATGATGAGAAAAAGTTTTAAAAATATATAAATAATATAATAATTCTCAACAAAAAATAATTCTTTTTTTTTCATCATAATTTTTTTTAATTTTTTTTTAAAAAAAAAATATATATCACACTCCTTTTTTTTTTTCTTTAATTCTAATATAATAAAGTAATTATAATAATAAAAGAGAGAATGTCACTTAAATTAATGAAATCAAAAATAATAACAATAATAATAATATTTCATGTCTTAAGCATTTCAATAATATGTGACTCTCAATATGTTCCAAGTGCTAGATATGCAACGTCAAGTGTATTGGTTGAGAATAGATTGTATTTCATGGGAGGGTGGGGTCAAGATCCCGATGGATCATGGAATTGTCAAAATGATATGTTTTATCTAGATTTATCCAATTCACTAAAGACATCATCAATAATTGAATTGAAACTAGAAGAATCGACAAGCGTGCCGGTAAGGAATTGTTGGTCATCATCATCTTTAGCGGAAGGGGGGAAGAAGATTTACATTTTTGGTGGAATCATGTTGGACTCAATTAGCAAAGAAACAAATGATAGTTCATTAATTTATTCATTTGACATCAACGCACAAAAATGGAGTGCACCAAAGATAAAAGGAATCCCCCCAGAAAGGCGACAACATTTTCAAATGGTTCCTGACAATAAGAATGACTATTTATACATTTTTGGTGGATCAACTGGCGAAATTACTAAAAGTGTTAAATGGTTTAATGATATGAACGTTTTGAACACCAATGAACTAACTTGGCAAAATATGATGATTCTGGGTTCAAAAAAGATCATCGTTCCGCCGTATATGGCTGATTTCACCGCTACCATGTTATCGAGTGGCGAAATCGTTTATATTGGTGGGCGACAATCCACTTCTCCAAGCGACGTGTCCTTCACTTTATCCAAGATGAATGTGGTAAGCATACGTTAATTATTCCCGTTGAAGCGATTTTTAAAAAAATTTTCGCTCATTTTAAAATTGTTATTTTTTTAGATTTATGTCTTCAATACAAAGTCATCCAGTTGGAATGTCATCGTAAGTGTTACACCTTTTAAAAATGTATGCGTACATGTATGTGTATATGGCATATTAACATCACTTAATCCCGAAGAATGCCGGTGGTGATGCTCCCAATTCACGTATTGGACATTCGGCGGTTTTAACTTCAAATAACAGAATTATCGTATACGGAGGGACGAGTGAAGATCCAGCGACTCCCGCAACACCTGACCTAGCGATTCTTGATGTCAATCAAACACCTTATCAATGGAAAATACCAAATGTCACGAAGGGTTCACCACCGTCTCGCTCATTTCATTCGGCGGCTTTCGTCCAAAATCACATGATCATCGCATTTGGGAACATAACGACAAAAACGGCAGGCATAACGAATTCATTTTACATCTTGGACGTCACAAATTTCCGTTGGTCATCATCGCATATAAAATCGAATCAAACTCCAGACGCCACACGGGGATTACAGGAGGTTCCTTCCACGACGCCATTAAGAGAAAGTTTATTCACACAAAACATGGCTCTCATCTTAGGTGCCAGTATTGGTGGCTTGATAAGTTTTATCATCCTTGCTAGTATCGGTGTTTTAATATATAAAAAATGGAGGATTTATCAAAAGATCATCAAGAGAAATAGACAATACGTTGAACAAATTTCTTCCTCGCAAAATTCCAACAATTGAAACAATGAATGTATAAACAATTTAAGCTTAATTAGAATGATTAGGTGATCTTAATTGGTACATTTGGTGTGTATTTTATCAATTCAATTTTACCATAATGTGAGATATTAACTCGCACCCATTTAATTACTATTTTAAATAATAAAAGATCGATTTCACGCAATGTAAAACTGTACATATGTCTATTCCCAAATTGTCAAACAAAGTCCAAAAGGAGTAAATATTTGTCTTTTATTTACTTTGATATGATCATATGACATCGTAGGTGTTAAATTTTTTTTAGGTTTTCAGGAGGAACAATCTAACCCGAAATTGATCGATTTGTTGGTTTTTAGGTAAAGACGTGCAACTTTTAATGCTGTATAAGGATTTATCAAGTTTAATTTTTTTTTTCGTGGAAGGTTTTTTTTTTATAAATATCATACATTTTCATTCTAATAATAAATCTTAATCAATTAGTTCGGCCGCCTTCACGACTAAAGCCGGCAATTTTCAAAGGGTTGTGCGACAAATAACAATTTCCTTTCAATTTTGTGATTTTTTTTTTTACCGCCCTCTCATTTAAAAAAAAAAAAAAAAATATTTCCATCATCTACAATGTATTATAAGAATATGGTAACTTCATTTTTTTAATTTTACATAAATAGTCCCATGAAAGAATGCAAGGGACAAACAATTTAAAAAAAATTTTTTTATTGTCTAAACTAACAATCTGCATAGTGTGTATAGTGTGTACAAAGGTAATTAAATTTTCTATTATTAAAAAATGATTTTTTTTTATATTTATCTTCATTTTTTTTTTTTTTCCTTGTTCTTACAAAATCTCCACCTAAAAAAAAAAAATTTTTTTTTTTTACTTTCGATTTTAGTCTCACTAATAGATAACACCCCTTTCGCCGTCTCGAGAACTTTTTTCCTCCTCTTAACTCTGTATTTTTTTTGATAAAAAAAATAAAACACCACATAAACCTTATCATGCCCACACAACACAATATTGGCGGCGCAGCATCTCTCTTAGAGTTTGACTCAAGTATACCATACGAAATTTTTAAACGAAACTTAAAACTTTTACGAGTTGGTCAAGTCATTGTTGACTTTGAGATAATACTCGAAAAGAATAGAGTCATATTCTATGGTTCACCCAACAAACATAAGTCGAGGACGGTGAGGGGTAAAGTGAGGCTAGAAGTGGCTGGAAAGTTAAATGTTAAAGTATGCTTTTTTTATTGTTCTTTTTTAAAATGAAGTGAAGACTGTACGATACGTTCTTTGTGTGTTGTTGCTGCTTGTGCGCTCTCTGTGAGTGCGCGCTTTGTATCAGAGCACATGGCATGTATGTATGCTACATATGCTGATGTACCTTTCTTTGTTTCTATTTAGGAAATTATGATAACTCTTGCAGGAGAATTTCACATTGCAAATGAGAACGCCTCCACTTTTGCATCTGATGAGATCCCACTTCAAGGAACTTTGTTTTCCACTTGCATATTATTGGCAAATAAACGTACTCTTAATCCGGGTGTGCATGAGTTCTACTTCGAATTTAGTCTGCCCGGAGATTTACCCGAATCCATGAGTTCCGATCTGGTCTTATGCGAATACTTTTTAAAGGCTGAAATCGTAGCTCGAGGATTAGGAGATTTACATACTCGAAATAAAGTCGTGGATGTGGTGGATTTGTTTGTTCAACGATCCATGCTCCAAAGCGATGATGACATCAAACAAGGACTTGATGCTACAAGATACACTGGTTCCCGAGATAAAATTCTTGACTTTGAGTTCCTTTTACCAAAAATCTTGAGGTTAAACACTGATGTTCTCACGTTTCACGCTCGATGGGATGGTCTCCGTGTCGATAATGTTACATTTTTGTTTGTTCAAACCGAAAGTTTTACAAGTTTGCAAGCGGTCGAAGGTCAGGAATCATCTTCTGATCGTAAAACAAAAGTTATTTCGGGACCTTTCCGATTCGATATGCCTAGAAAAGAACCTTTGAAACTTCAAAGTCGACCAATGACTTTCCAATTGCCAATCACCGAACCTTTTGTCAGGGATTATGATTTGTACAATGTTGAAATTAGACATCAACTCATCATCTCCATTCAAATGGCCAACAAGAATAAGGAGAGCATTCAACTTTGCATTCCTATAATGATCGAATCAATCGTGGAGAGCATGGAAACGATACCACTACCTTGTCATATTAGCCAAAGTAACCAAGCAGCTTTTCTCCATTTCGCCAATAAGACTTATCGTGGTAAACCCCTCGAAGATAACAATCCACCAGAGCCTCCTTCCTTGAACCGATTCGCTCGAGCTGAGCAAAGGGAACATAGCACAATCGTTGATGATTCCAATGAATCGACAGCGGTTGCATCTGAGTCTATCCAAACTAACGAACAAACATTACAAGTTCCACGAAGAACTAGTAGTATCATCATTCGAAAAAACTCGACAAACAACAGTAATCATAATGATGTTAACGTTATCAACATTCATCATTCAATTAGTACTATTAACGAGAGTGCTAGTGAATTTACCGTAGACGAAATCAGCAATGAAAACAGCAACACCATTGCCACAACCGTTACTTTCACCAACAATGCCGAACATGAAAGAAACTCCCATGGTTTCCCACAAAAAGGATCCCAAAAGTCCACTTTCGTTATTAATTCTGGCAATGTGATTGCTGAAAAATTCACAAAGTTTAATCATCTTTTACAACGAAATCGCAGTAACAATAGAAGCATCTCGGTTAGCAAAAAAGGCGCAAATCGTCCTAAAAGAGCTGCTTCTTCGGCATCTGCGGCTAAATTTGCTCCTGGATTGCTTGAATTTCTAAACAGGCTTCCTAATGCTAATACCGCTAATGCAAATGCTTCATTGACGACTTAACGAATTATTTTTTACGCTTAATGATTGATGGATCACAATAAAAATTACAAACAAAAAAATTTTAGAAAATCACAAACACAACAAAAAAAAAAAGAAAAAAAAAAAAAAAAACACTACAAAAAATCATAGAACACATTATCAAAAAGTACATTCTCCCCCCCCCCCCCCTTTTCCCTAAAATATTTTTTATTTCTAATTTTTAAAAGAGTTGTTATTTATATAAAAGATACTC